TCCAACATAGCATGCACATAACACACTTATTTGGAGAAGCAAACCCCTCTCCCATTTAACAATGTTGCTATCCTAATGTGGCAGCGCTGGAAATACACAGATGAAAATGCAAGGGTTCTGAATTCAGAGAGCCCTGGTCTATGTAAGAACGCATCTTTGCCTCTTTTTTCCTTTCCTTTTCTTTTCTTTTTTTCTTTTTAAGAAAAAGTTTCTTTATGTAACTGCCCTGAAACTCCCTTTGTTGACCAGACTGGTCTCGAACTCACAGAGACCCACCTGCCTCTGCCTCCAAGTGCTGGGACTCAAGTTGTATGCCATCACCACCTGGCTTGTAGAATGCCTCTTTACCATGGGAACAAGGAGTTTGGCACTCATCCTTACCACTTATTTCAGAATACATTAAACAAACAAACAAACAAACAAACAAAAACCCAACAGAGACTGGGGATGGAGCTCAGTTGTCCAAACACTTACCTAGCATGCATAAAGCATGGGTTCCATCCCCAACGTGTCATACACTGGGCATGGTGGCACACACCTATAATCCTAGCATTCTGGGCATAGATATGGGTTATAAGTTCAAGGCTAGCCTCTACTGTATAATGGGTTCAAGGATACAAGAGACCCTGTCTTGAAAAACAATTAAAAACAAACAAACAAACAAAAAAACAATTAAAAACTAAACAGCTGTGGGGCAGGAAACGATCAATGCACACTTAACACTACACACCACCTACTTTCTCATAGGCTTTGCTCACATCGTAGGCACTCAGTCTTCATAGCGACCTCATGAAGACACTTGCCCACAGTCATAGGAAACTGACAGCAAAGCCAGGAATGAACCCTAAGCTGTTTAGCTGAGAGTCCTTTTGATTTTGTTACACCAGACCTATTCTGGAAGCATGGGGATATTGATGGAGATCAGGAAATAAGGAGCTTAGTCTTTGAGTGTAGGAGAAGAAAACACTGGATGGGACACTGTGACTTTGGGTGTCCTAAGAGTAAGTCTACTGTGTTAGTCATAATGGTGTTGTGGATACAATGGCGATGTACTGGTATCAAGGCTGAAGTCTAAATGTTTTCATTCCCTGCACAGAGGTGTTATGTGTCACTATTCCTGAGGAGATATTAAAATCTACTCAACCAAGATAGGGAACCAATGACAGATAATAGTATGTGTATCTCTGTGAGTTCGAGACCAACCTGGTCTACAGATTTGAGTTCCAAGACAGGCTCCAAAGCTACACAGAGAAACCCTGTCTGGAAAACAAAAACAAACAAAAAACTCCAACCAAACAAAAAAGGATGTGTATCACCAAAGTCCAACTTGGTGAACAAATTAGTTTTATTGGGGTTACTTATAGGAATATAGGTGAGGGGTTACTTATAAGAGCAGAAATGATTTAAAGATAACTGAATCACCAAAAAGCTCACCCCCTGGGCCTGGAGAAATAACTCAGTAGTTAAGAGCCCTTGCTGTCCTTCCAGAAGTCCTAACTTAATTTACCAGCACCCACACCAGGCAGCTCATTCCCTATAGTGCCAGGGAATATGACACCTTTGTCTGACCTCATACTGACATACATATATACACAAAAATTAATTTTAATGAGATCCATGCGAGCATGGGTGATAGCTTGTGAAAGCATGCTGAATAGCCTTCAGGGAGCTCAAACTGTTGAAGAGTGTCTTTTCTAGGGAGTTCAGAGACTTTTTCAGGCAGGTCAGCAGTTTGCTGTTCTCTCCTTCCAGGAAGCTTGGCTGATCTCTGCTTCTTCCAGCTTCTCAGCTGGTTTGAGCCTCTCCTAGGAAGCTCAGTCTTTATACACATATCATACATACGTACGTACATACATACTATACACACACAACACACACACAACACACACACACACACACACACACACACACACACACACACCCATGCTTGAGGATGAAGAGGCCTGGTGTATCTGGTCATTTTCAGGGATTTCCGGAAGGCATTGAATTGTTTACTTCATGGGTTTAATGTGCCTTTACTTCCCCTTAGAACGTTCTGTTGTCTTATATTCTTTTAAAAACTTAGCTTAATATCACCTCCCCTTTAACATCCTATGTTATACCAGGCTTTCCTAGAAGATGGAAGGTTTGAATCTCACAGAAAACTGCTGCACAAGAGGAAAGGGCATTTTTATTTCCAATGATGAAAACATATCTTGATGTTTGCTATCATGACCTGATTACCAAAGGTTTTTTGTTTGTTTGTTTAATAAAATGACTCTGTTTTCATTTAGGATAATTTTTTTCTTCAAAGACCTTCTTTGAAATACGTATCCTATGGAAACATTACTGAGCGTGTTGAATTAAGGAAACGACTGGGTTGCAAGTCATTCCAGTGGTATTTGGATAATATCTTTCCAGAGTTGGAGCCATTTATACGTACTGATGAAAAGGAATGGAATCACTTTCATTAATAAAGGGTGAAGAAGTTCCCTAGTTCTTCAACACACTGGTACCATAGGACAAGTTTGGAGCACCATGGAATTATGTGAAATGCAATGAGAATACAATCAGAGTGGCCAATCTCTCAGGAGTGCCCTTCTCTACCCCATGACAATTTCTTCTTTTGTTGCTCATCTGCCACTGAAGTTCTGGGGATAAGGACCTTGACATTAGAAAGGCAAGCTCTCTCATGGTTCAGTGGCTGGAATATGATTGACCCAGATAAAATATATGTAGTGATTATTTGACCAATTCACTTGGCTGTGATGGCCTCTAAGAGCCTGCTCTGTTCTTGGAGCCTTCAACAGTCTGATGGGCTGACATGATTGCTTTAGGAAAATGTTCACAGAGAGTCATGACTGGTGTACAGTGTCTGAGTTAGATCAAGCTCCTTTCTTGCAACCTGGGGCTGCCTCCTGGCTTGGTTGTGTTCCTAAGAGTCTGATGTCCAAGTCACCTTGGTTTAAGTTCTCTATGCAGGTTCCTCATATCTTCCTGATGGCTTTTCTGTCCCAATCCACTGATCTTTTCTGCTTCTATTTTCATGTCTGTACCCTCTAGCCTCTGTCCTGTGACCCACAGCTCCCCTGATGCTTCTTGAATTATGCCTGTTTTGTGTACATAGGGCTGGGACAGAGCAGTTGGCTCTTTACACTCAGAGAGACAGACTCCTCAATGCCTAAAGTATTTCTTTAGGGTTTGAGGAATGCTGTAAGGCTTACCCTGTTGAAGGCAAGTTTAAGAAGGTCAAAGAGGAGGAATTCACAAAACTTTACAAAGAAAATGAGGGAAGAAGCCCTCTGAAAGGACATAAAGTGAGATGTCTGACAGGGTTACTAACTGTAGCTTATGCAAACATAACCTGCCTTAGTTTTCCTCATCACTGCCATGAAGTTTCTTAGGGGTTTCTAGGAGGACTAAGCATCCAGAATGCTGAATCACTGTTGTCCTATATTTTGCAAGCTTCATTCACTTACAGATACTAGGTGACAGGATTTGGAGTTACCTAGGAGACAGACCTCTTCTTTGAGATGGTTTCCTGAAAGGTTTAGCGGAGCAGGGAAAACCCACCAGGAATGTGGCCATAACACATGGAGGAGGGACCAGATTAAATATAAAGGAAAAAGAAGAAAGTAAGATGCCCGTCAGCTTCTCTCTGCCTCTTAAGGATGCAATGTGCCAAGCTGCTTTATACTCTGGCTACCATAGCTTATCCATCAAAATGGAAGCTGTACCCTCAAATTGTGTGCCAAAATAAGCCCTTAAGTTGCTTCTGTCAGGTACATTGTCACAAAACAAGAAAAGTAACACACACATTGTGATGGTGCACAAACGCATGCTGTACTATTGCCCTTGCAAGAGAAAGCCATCCCTGAAATAACCACTAGTTCCAATTAAGTCAGGCAGTGGTGGTGCACACCTTTCATTCCAGCACTGGGGGATGGGGGGGGGGAGGCAGGTGGATCTCTGTGAATTTGAGGACAGCCAGTTCTACAGAGCTAGTTCCAGGACAGCTAGGACTACATGGAGAAACCCTGTCTTGAAAACCAAAAGAATGGAAACTATGAAAGATACCCTTTTTTGGCATTGGACAGCAACTGTTTGAAGGCAATGGCCATGGACTTTGAAGGTAAGGGTGATCAGGATTTTAGTCTTGTGGAGAGACCTAGGTAGCAAAACATAACATCCCAAACCCTTACAATACTAGTAGATATGTATGGGTTAACTTTGTGTCGTTGTGACCACAATTTAAAGGGAAAAGATTTATTTTGGCTCATGGTTGCTTTGGGTTCATTGGATGATTGCTTGGTCATTGCACTTGGACAGAACTTTGTGATGGACTGGAAGTTTGGAGGAAGACTTGGACCACTGGACCAGCTAAGGCCCTCAAAGGGGCATTTCTCCATCATCCTCCCTCCAGATTGGCCCCACCTCCTGAAGTTTCCAGAACCTTCAGAAATTGCGTCACCAATGTCACCAAGCTCTACACATAAACCATGGGGAACACTTCAAGTCACCACTGCCGGTTAATGAGGGAATGTATTCTGGGCTAACATTAGCTAGAACGATTGATTTGGTTCAGGTGATGCTGTTTTCTTAGTAATAAGGGATGCAGAATTTCCTCCCTGCGTGTATCTGGTTCTTCTCCCAGACATCACAAAAAAAAAAAATTTCAAGTCTTGAACGAATAGCATTTATTTCAGAGGTGACAGGATTAAAGATTCAGATATCTGTCAATGTAATGCAGTATTAGTATTACTGGACCAAAGACCAAAACCCTTACCATTCAGTTAGAGCTGATAAATTCTCTCTAGCCGGCTTGTGCCTTCCTCACATTCTTCCCGAGAACAACTCGTCGTCTCCTCCTCCTCAACTACATTTCTCTCATGAGTGACGGTAAACTTCACTAAGAGGAAAGCGCTAAGGCCCTGAGAGACAGCGCTCAGCTTGTCGCTGGCCAGGGAAGAGCCAGGGCCGCGTGACGCCAGGCCGGGCCGTGACGTCATCCTCGGGGGCGGGGGCGTGCGTGCCGTGACGCGAGCGTGGAGCAGGGCCCCTCAGGGCTGCGTGTCCTGGGCCGTGTCGCGCGCCGCGGCTCGTGCGGCTCGGCCCGGGCTGTGGCGGGAGCGAAGATGCCACAGCCCGCGCCCCGGAGCGCCGCCATCCCGGGCTGCGGGTGTCGCGGTGAGTAGCGGGCCTGAGGCGCCTGACCCTGCGCGGCCTCCGTCGGCGCCTGAGCGTGGGCTGCGGCCTGAAGCACTGCGGCTCGGTGGCCCGTGAGGCCCGAGGTGCTTCCGGCTTCAACAGCAGCCATGGGCACTGCGCGGGGCCGAGTTATCGGTGGCCGTAGCTTCCGGGCGCTGTTGTGATTTATTAGAAAAATGTGGATTTTATCATTATTGCTGTTAGTCGGTCTGTGCGGGTCAGGGTTTAGACACCATCCACGTGTGAGGCTGGAAGACAGACAGGATGCTTGTTTGCTTGCTCGTTCGCGCGCTCGCTCTCTCACTAGCCCCCCCCCCCCCATATGCTTGTTAAATAAATTGTCTTGTATAGTTTCCATACACCCAAAACTGATGCATTTTGGATAATTATGAAAAACAAGTCCTGCCCCTTCCTGTTTGCTCTCTCTTTTTGATCAATATTAGCATGTTCATGATGGGCTAGCTTCATTTCCCATCAAAGATTTGGTCTAGCCTTTTTACTTTATGAGAGGCATCATGGTCAACTTGGTTGGTTGGTTGGTTCCTTATCTTTAGACGTAAAATGAGACTTTGGGGATGCTCTTCTATCTGTGTACCCACCAAAATAGTTACTTCACATAACAGGAGTGGTTCCTATTCGATAAAAACAAAAAACAAAAACTTACTACTAGTTTTTTTGTTTGTTTGTTTTTAATTTGAAATACTGCTTTAAGGAAAACATAGTAACTAACCCTTTCTTACCCTCAATTTTTGTGTGCTACAGAGCTCGGCAAGTGAAATGTCAGCAAACAGTAGTCCATACTTTTCATTTTGGGCAATTGCCCTGCAATATATCTCTTACATTTCTGTGCTGTTTCTTGCAAGTTTTTCTTCACAGGATTATGTTATTATTTTTCTTATAAAGCATACATAAAAATGAAGATTATGGTCTTAATTTTAGTAGTGTAATTGAATGGCGTCAAATACATTCACAATGCTGTGCTAAATTCAGTGCCATATATTTCCAAAACATATCAGTCAGGACAGAAACTGTACCCACAGGGCAGGGACCTTTGCCCCTCTGCCCCTTTGGTCTCTGAATTTACCTGTGCCCTTTCATCTTTACTTTTATCTGTTTGAGTCACTGTGAGGACTATTCTTGGTTGCCAACTTGATTACATCTGGAATTAACTAAAACTCAAAAATGCCTGGGCACACTTGTGAGAGATTTTTCTTTGCTTAATTAAATTATTTGGATCTTTGAAGAGGGAAGACACACCTTTAATTCAGATATTTTGGGGTGGAAAGATCCACCTTGAATCTGGGGCCACACCTTCTGCTGGCATCCAATTAAAGGAGCTGGAAGAAGAAAGCCTCTCATTGCCTGCTTGCCTTGCTAGCAAGTCCATTCCTTCATTAGCATTAGAGCCTGCTTCTTTTGAATTCCAGTGTACCGAAGACCAGCGGAGACATCCAGCCTCATGGACTGAACAACTCTACTGGATTCTTGGTAGACAGCCATTATTGGACTAGCAGGATTACAGCCTGTAAGGCATTCTAATAAATCCCATTTCTTTATATATAAAGAGATTTGTTCTATAAGTTTTGTTACTCTTAAGAACCCTGATGAATACAGTCTCTGCTTTCTTTCTTTCTTTCTTTAGAATGTTTATGTAAGGATTGAATTGCTCAGCTCACATTTGAAAAGCCTTGGCTTTAGAGACTTTTTTTTAACCTGTACTGACAGCTTCATCTCAACACTCAGTTGGTTGACCCTCAGTAATACTTTTTAATTAATTCATTTTTATTTTACGTGTATTTTGTCTGCCTGCATGTATGTCTGCATCATGTGCATGCAGTGTCTGTATAGTCCAGGTCCCCTGGAACTGGAATCATAGGCCGCTGTGAGCTTCTGTGTAGGTGCTGGGAATTGAACCAGGCTCCTCTGGAAGAGCAGCCAGTGCTCTTAACCACTGAGCCAATTCTCTAGCCTGGCCCTCAGTAATCTTCATGGCACTTCATATTTGTGTCAGCACATCCTCTGGATGTTCCTTGGGGCCCTTCTGAGGTCTCATAGGTTCTTTTCCTCCAGAGTTCACCGTCTCCAAGTTCAGCATTGTCCTCTGCATGTGCTCTCTCCATTACTTAACCCTGCACCAGCTGCCATGCAACGTGAGCTGCAGTTCCCATGTCTTTTAAGTCTCTTTCCTAGACCTGGTTCCCATCTGAGTCCTTTCCCTCTCAGGATTCCCTTGGATGTAACATCTCTAAAACCAAAACTGCCTCCCATCCTTGCTCTGTGCCATTGCCCCTTCCTTAGGGGCTTCCTTCCCTCTATGCTGACAAGTGCAGATAGTTGGCATTTACTCTATCTTTCCACAGTCCAAGTCAAGCCCAGATGGCTTTGCCTTGGGATTTTTCTCACTGATTCCTTGTTCTAAAGGTTTTCTCCCTCTTACCCAAACTGTTTTATCCACAGCTGTCAGGACTTTCCTCCTAAGATAGGCAGAAGAGTTGCTTAAAGACAGGAGCTGGCTATTTTTACCCCACATTCCAATAGGGTCTCACTCTGTAGCTCAGGCTGGCCTGGAACTCTTGTCATCCTTCCTGCCTCAGCTTCTCATGTGCTAGGATTATAAGTGTGTGCTACCATGCCAAGTTCATTAGCTCTCTGCATTTCTGACAAGCTTACTTTTCAGTGGCAGAGCCCCAGCCTATCTTTCTGCAGAGGAGGCACTGACCTCTGCCTGCCCTGGCTCTCTGACCGGCCAGGTGTCCTGAGCCTTGTGCTTTAAGATGTTTTGTTGGCTGCCTGTGTCCTCAGTTTCCTGTTCTTTGGTGTAAGTTTGCTTCTTTGTCTCAGCATGTTTCCTCTGCATCTGAGCCATGTTAGTACTTTAGTATTTGTGTTCTTTTGGGTTTTTAAAGAATGTTGTTTTTACTAAGCTGAGTTGTTCAAGCTAGCTTTGACCTCTGCATCCCACTGTCTTAGCCTTTTGAATGCCGAACTATCAGCAGAGGCAGGGACTGGGAGATGCTTGAGGAGTCTTTTTAGAGACTTTTGCTGAGGTGATGCTGAGATACTTGACATTGAAGAAGAGAATTTTAGGACCAGTGAGCATGAAGCAGAGATGGGATTCATTAAGATTTATTATTTACTTGTTCTTTTTCTTTCTAAGGCAGGATCTCATATAGCCTAGGTTGCTTGTCAACCTGCTGAGTAGCCAAGGATGATCTTTAACCTTTGATTCTTTTGTCTCCACCTCCCAAGTGCTAGAATGACAGGCATGCACTTCTATCTCTGAAGCACAGGCCTTAAGGGAAACAGAAAGGTGCTTTAGAAAGACTATCTTACATTCCTATGTGGGTGTGGGCTTCCTCCAGGAGACTTCCATTGAAATGTCTTAGCCGTATCTGATTTAGGTGCTTTCTGAAGTTGCATTACTCTGAAATGTTTTTTGTTTGTGTTTTCTTAGAGTCTTACAGTAGCTCAGGCTGGCCTCATACTCATGCAGTACATCTGCCTCATCCTCCTAGCTTCTTTTTAAATAATGAGATCATGGAGTAATACAGCGATTTCTGAGGTGTGCTTGACAGTATATCAGGGTGATAAGATTAAAAATACAAGTCAAAAGGGTCAAAGGAGTGTAGGTCACAAAATTTAGACTTGACTGTAAACAAGGTTTTGAACCCTGTCGTGAGAATCTACAGTTTTATGGCTGAGACAGAAAGTTAAATCAGTGTCATATGCTTTGGTCTTAAATATGTTCCCTTGTTTTAACACCTTTTTTAAAATAACATTTCATCTGTTTGGTAAAATTAGTTGGATTTTTACTTATTTTTAAGAAGATTTATTTTTATTGTCGTTGATGATGTGTCTCTGCATGTGAGTCTCTGCAGGTGCTGAGGAGAGCAGAGGTGTTAGAGTGTCCCTCAGCGCTACCTGCTGAGGAGGTTCAATGCCTTCTTAGCTGCTGAACTATAGCTTCAGCCCTTAACATTTTTTTTTTTCCTTTAAGATTTATTTTTATTTTATGTGCTTGAGAGTTTCCCCTGCATATGTTGGCGTGTCACGTGTATGTAGTGCTCACAGAGACCAAAATGAGGTGGGATTCCCTGGAACTGGAGTTACAAATGAAATTAGCCACCGTGTGGGTGCTGGGAACTGAATCCAGTTTCTCTGCAAGAGCAGCAAGTATACCTGATCCCCAGACTCTATTTTAACATTCTTATTTGAAACGTCACTATTAAAAAGAACTGTTGTCTCAAAATATGTAGACTTCATAGTTACTTAAAACGTTTGACTGTTAGTAGGTGAAAGACTTCCACTAGATGGGAGGTGAGGGGCTCCCTTCCCTTCCATGACCCTCTCTAATTGTCTCCATCGTCATCTTGCTTCAGGACCACAAGCATTTGCCCCAATCCCTGCTTGTTTTCTAGAGAAGAGATTCAGAATTCCTAAGGGCTGTCAGGAGATCTTTCCTGGGGAGCATCTGCTGTCTGGAGCTTAATTTACTCTGACCCTGCCTATTCAGTGCTCCCCTGACTGCACTTGTTGCATTGCTGGTGCTCCATGAATTCTTTCAGTTTCCCAACAGAGATAAGGGGTGAGGGGATAATGTGTATTTTCCTGTTGTCATCACCTGGTAATTTCACAGGTTATGGTAGACCCAGCACAACTGTAAGCCAGTAATTGTATTCACATGAATAGCTGAGTTCAGATGTGGCATGCCTCGTTTATGGAAAAGGCTGACAAATGCTTGTTCTTAGACAGTGTGTATACAGCATATATTTTCACAGAAAACATCTAGGACTTATTGAAAGGTAAGTTTTTAACATTTAAAGAGACATTTGAAATTTTATTAAGTATTATGGGAATTGTTTGTACTGAGAAAAACAAAAAGCCTCCTGTTAGACATGTTCATCCCATTAGCCATATGCTACAGGATGTAAATTGTGCAGGGCCCACTATTCAAACTATCAAGAACTTAGAGAGGATGT